CACTGTTACAAACTCTCTCAGAACCTTCAATAAATGCCCGTAGGGCATTCCACTCCACTACAGTTCTCGGCCCAAACCACTCAGCTCCAGCCAGCGGAGTCAATACACTCAGCTCCTCCAGTTAATGGCCAAAGGCACCCCACTTCACCAGCCAGCTTCCGGCCCAATAGCTTCTCTGTTTCACTTTCTCTGTAGCCTGGGCTTCCACTGCTCTGTTTCATGTTGCAGGATCTGCTGTGACTGCTCCTCTGGAGTCTCTCCTGTCTCTGAGAGCAGAGGTTTTGGTCTCTGAGTCTAGGACCAAGGGATATATGCTGCTCCTGGCTCTACTTTCTCACTGATAGTCAATTCTCCACCTGTGGCTTCTGGGATGTCTGCTTTTATACCCAGCAGGATGGCAGTCACAATGAACTCTGCTTTCCATCACTCACAGCTGAACCTTCTAACCCAGTCAGTCTCTTCCCTCGCCTTCTTATCCTGACCTATAAGGAAAACAAAGGTTGTCTGATGGGAATAACCAAGGCTTCAGCATATGAAATAATTCACTGCACTGCCTACCCCAACAAGGCTGTGACAAGTGTATTACTGAAAGATCTTGTCTTCAGATAGCCACTAATCACAGCAACCTGTTTAAAGTAAACCTGTGTGCATGTATGAATTCTACTAGCAATATTTTTGACTCATATTAAAGAAGAAAAAATCATTTAAATAATTAGGTGTTGCTATCATCCAAAGTGTATAGGGAAATCTTAAAGCAAGTTATTATAATAGGAAAATTCAGATATTACAGTTTAAACATTCCACAGTGATGAAAAGAACATCAATGATTATCTCTGCACTACCAAGGAGAAGATTATAGTGACCTTATTGTGATTTCACATCCAGAAATTGAGGAAATATATAACTTCATAGAAATATAATCCCCAGTCAAATTTTTAAATATCCACCCCCAAAGCAGCTCACACCTATCCTAGTTTATAATTGTCCCCTGAAGGCAAGTATATAATACATTTTCGTGTGCCCAAAATGGGGAATGAGTTTTAATTTTAATTAGCTTCATACCATATCAGGGGAAAAAAGAACACCATAAAATCTTATTTAAAGGAAGGCGAAGTAGGTCAGCTCAGGTTAACATTAAAATCAACCATTAATTGCTTCCTGGTTAGCATTTAACTTCCCTGCCACATTTTAATTTCAGTCAATTCATATAACCAATTTTATAATATAAAGTGGTCTTTTTTTTTCCCAATCATTTTACAGCTCTTAACACAATCCATACATACATTCATTGTGTCAAGCACTTTTGTACCTATGTTTCCAGTGACATTTTCACATTTTCTTTCTACTTGAGCCCTTGGTATTGGCTCATCCATGCCCCTCCCTCCCTCCCTCGTGATCCCTTGATAATTATAATTTTTTTTCATGTCTTACACTGACCACTGTCTCCCTTCACCCACTTTCCTGTTGTCTGTCCCCCTGGGGGATGGGGGGGTGTTATACGGGGATCAGTGTAATCAGTTCCTCCTTTCTCCCCTTAACTTCCTGTACTACTATTCTCATTATTGGTCTTGAGGGATTTATTAAAGTGGCCTTTTTATTATTTTTATGTTTCTAGAAATGTACATTCAAACTAAGTAATAAAAAAATTGAAGAAGAGGCCATAAATGTCAATATGTCCCTGATTGGTAACATCTGTCTGTTTGTGAACATCTCTAGGTTTTTAAATGCTTGGAATTGTGTAAAAGCATGAAATAGTGGAGAGCAACTCTTGTTTCTGGAGTCAGACAGCGTAGGTTCAATTTTGTGCTCCCCGACTATGTTGTGTGACCCTTGACACAGAATCTAAGCTCTCAGAGCATCTGTTTCTTCATCTTTCAGTGCTATGTGCCCTTCTGTCTGTTTGGTTCCAATTCATAGCAATCATGAACAAAAGAACAAGACTGCCTAGTCCTGTGACATATGAGGCTGGTGGTGTAGTGGTTATGCGTTGGGTGGGCAGTTCGAAACCACCATTATCTCCTCGGGAGAAAGATGGGGCTTTCTTGTGAACCACAGGAGGTCATTGTGAGGCAACATTGACTGATGGCAGTTATTTTGGTCTTCAGTCCTGTGACACTTTCAAAATTGTTACTAGGTTTTTTGAGCCCATCATCCCATCATCCCAGCCACCGTGTCAATCTATCCTCATTTCTGTTTTACCAGTTCTTTTCCAGGCACTGGATTCTCTTGGGAGCCTTACTGCCTAAGGGGTTATGAATTGGGCTAATACCAGCCGCTCCTAAGTAGAATGAATGGGGCTTTCTACTCCCATACACATAAACAGTCTTAGGAAACTCACAAGGGCAGTTCTAACCTGCCCTATAGGGTCTCTATCAGTCAGCATCAACTCATTGGTTTGGATAATGTGACCAGTGTGTGAGTAAAGGTCTTACCATTCTAAGTAGCATTCTGATTGCACTTCTTCCAAGACAGATTTGTTTGTCCTTCTGGAAATCCATGATAAATTCAGTATCCTTTGCCAACATCATAATTCAAGGGCATCAGTTCCTTTGGTCCCATTTCACTTACATTTTACAATAATAGTTGATACATATAATTTAACAAAAGATCAAAGTCACTTGTCAATTATTCATGTAAAAAGTAACATGCTAGAATGACTGGTAACTGTATGTGTTATTGTCTCATATTCTAAAGCACATTTACAAATTCTTTGATACATCACTTCAAAAGACAAAATCTAATTATCCTCTACTTGAATGTAGATTAGATTTAGTGACTCACTTCTAAGAAATAGATTCTGTAGAAATAATAGTTTGTAACTACATCTAAAAAGGTATTAGAGCTTTCTCCGGCTCTCCTGGATTACTGTCTCTGGGGGAAGGTAGCAGCGTGAGAACGTCCATGTTGGCCTCCAACAGCCGTGTGAGTGAGCCTTGTTGGAAGCAAGTGATCCTCCATCTCCAGCCACTCTTGAAATTGACTGCAGGCCAGGTATGGTGACTGTAAAACATGAGAGACCCTGAGCCAGAACCACCTCCTGAGCTGCACCTAGATTCCTGACTGCCGGAAATGGTTGTGATAACAAAGCCTTATTGTTTTAGCCATTGACTTTTAGGATAAATTATTACAAACACACAATCTTTCTTATGCTTCCTGAAATATGGACGAGGGGAATCAATCCTAAGAATGGGAAAGTTAGACTAGGTTTCCAGATTTAAATCTAATTATCAGCATTGGGAAAGTTAGACGAGGCTTCCAGATGTAAATCTAATTATTAGCATTGGGCAAGTTGGACGAGGTTCCCAGTTGTGTCATCTCCAGAAGAAGAGCTCCTTGGGAACAAGCTCCAGGTCCTTCAAGCAGTAAGAACTGGATTCTTTGATTCTTTCCCTTTTATCGTCTCTTGATGTCTCCCTTACCAAATTACATTTCTTCTGACCTCTTCTCTGTAGGGTCACTATTAGTCACAATTGACTCTGGCAGTGAGGGTTTCTGTGTTTTGGTGTTTGGGGTTTGTTTGTTTTTGTAATTTTGATCTGAAAATATGTCAGGCTTTTATACATCTTCTTTCAAGTGAGCAAAAGCATATGAATGGGTAATAGTTCTTCTGATTTTAATGCATAATCATGGAAGAAAGGATAAAAATAGAGAAAACCTTACAGAATTAAGTGGAAACTATCAACTACCTAAACACATATAGTTAACTACTGTTAATATTTTGTTAACTTTCAGGAATTTTCTTTGCTTACCTCCACCTGTATACCCATTTCTGTAGAATTATTGATTGTAGAATGTTGTGATATTCAGCTCCAAATATGATTTTTTAGAAATTTCTCCTGCTCTTTCTTGAAAAGTATGCATTTAATTATTGCATATTATATCAATATATTATAAGCTGTAATAGTCATGTGATATATTGTAATCTACTCTTGACCATTTATACTCTTATTAATTTTGCTCTTATATATAATTCGAAATCAGCTCAATGGCAATGAGGATTTTTTGAGTTTCCTATGAGCAAATTATTGTTGTAGCAAAAAAACATATGAGGCACGAAATGTGCTATTCTTTTATCTGCATCAATTAATTTTCACAGAAACTATTAATCTATCTTTTGCTTTAAATTTTCTACAGAATGGAAACCCTCAGAATCCCTACTGTGATGGCATTGAGGGGGTCATGGAAGCTTATTACAGGAGTCTGAAATCGGTGCAACTGTACGGACCAACTAACTTTGCTCCTGTAATCAATCACGTAGCGAGGTATGTCGAGACCGGCATGGGAGTTATTCCAGTGCACTGTCGCATTGGGAACACGGCTCCAGAAAGCAGCCTCGTTTGCTTCTAACTAGCTTCTGGAACACGAAGGGCAGTGATCTACAGGACTCCCCATGAACCTATCATGATACTTCATTGTGAACTATGCCTTGAAACCTTGTAATGAATCATACTGGGTTATACTAGAACTGGCATCTTTTCAGTTACTAAAATTATTGCTTTTTCAAGAAGGCCCTTATGAAAAGCAGTAGCAAGATTGATTGTGATCTTACTGTGAAAATCATTCATAGCTGGCATCATAGCTTATAGCAACACTGATGCAATAAGAGACGAATTCACTAAGAGGACCACTGGAAGCCTTTCGGTGATACATAGGTCAGGTTATTTTATCCTCAATGAATTTAATATAGTAATTCATTAAAAAAATTCTCAGAGCTCTACCTGTGTATAGTATTTAGTATTAAGATTAGAGTATAATTGCTTGTAAATTTTCTGGAGAGAATATTAAAGTCTATATACCTGTACCCTTTCATTGGTATATAAATTGCTTGCATAACACTTGAAATTTCCTAAAACGTTTGGCACAAATCCTATGAAACTATTCTTAGTTTGAGATAATAAAAAAAGATGGGGTTCAAGTGTCCTTCTAAATATGTAGTCACGACTTGAAAAAATATTGTGTTGGAGTTATGATTTGAAAAAAATCACTTTATCATAATCGTTCTTACTCTGTTTTAGAAGCCTCAAGAACCTCAGGTCACATTTGACAGATCAGTACGCTCACCGTCCATCCAAATCCGTTTATGTATTTGTCATTATAGCTTATATACACTGCCAGGTTTGTTTGTTTTTTTAATGCATTCAGTGTCCTCTTTCATTCGCAGCAGTTTACAATGTAGAAAAGCAATGTGGATTTTTAATTCTGCTCAAAGTTTTTTAGTGATTTACCGCCTTTCTGTTCGACACCACCAGCAACTTACATGCACGCTACTTTCCATTATCTAGGACATGGACAAGATGCTAAAATGTCCCTGGTTCCACGGAGGCCTCTTGTGGAATACCACCTCGGTGTACAGTGATGCACTGAAGGCCACTCAGAGTGTGACCTTGTAACTCAAATATTTTGGACATGTATGTCCAAAACCCACATTAAAAGATGAAATTTTATATCTCAACTTTTGACACACACACAAACGTACACACAACTAAAAAATATTTTGCCAGGAATTTACTCTTTATTCCTGTGGTTTCCTGTTCTTTTTAATTTTTATTTTTTTAATGGTAGTCCTTTTTTGCTATTATTATTCTATTATTACTATTATATATCACTTTATTGGGGGGGCTCTTATAAACCTTATGACAATTCCCCTTTAATATTAGTCTTGATCTATTAAATTGATTTTGTAATACCACTAATAGATTATTACCTATAAATTGAACAACATAATCTAGTTTATTGTACTAGACTGTTTAAGGGAACAAATATTTTCATAGCATATTGGTGGCTATCAGATAAAGTAGATTCAAAAATTATATTAATACAAGATAAATTAAGTTTAGCTTTCTCTCTTTCTGAAACCACCCTACCAATTACTTATTTTTCAAGAGATGATTACTGTACTGCTTAATATAAATGTTCTCTCCATGCTTACCACTAATTTTCACATTGATACGTTCTCAGTGATAAAGTTAAACTTATGAAATATCTATTTGATTTTCTGCATATCATTTAAAATTACAGACTCCAAATTATTCAATTGTTATTTTTAAATATGTTTATTTGCCAATGGAAACTTTCAGATTCTTTGAAAATAAGTCAAAGTTGAGCACTTTTCTTGTTAGATGTTTAAATGGATTTAAAAAGAAAAGCAGTAAGAGAAGACATTTTTAGAAATCAGTTTTTCCTTCCAAAATAAAAAGTCCTATGTGTTCATCTTTTACTATGGATAAATAAAATAAATGACTTTGTTTTTTTTCCCTTTTCCCTTTGTGAATTATGTCTGATTCTACTGAGACAGTTTTTATTTGATCCAAAATTACCATTCAAATATATATTATTTAAAGGTAAACTATTACCTAATAGTATTCCAAGAAAAATATTATAGGTGTAGTCTCTATGTCCTCTTTATGTAAATCTTCTCCATTTTGCCATTCCAATACATTTTAATAGTACTTAATGCCATGTTCCTCATATAGTTGGTAGATACTCAGCAATTATATAATAAATACATTTTGTATATGTCAAGATAGTTCTCATTATTTTCAACTAATTTAAAAACAAATATATATCAAATATACATATATATTTCTCCTTGCCTGAATTTCTTTTATTAAAAAATGTTTTCTATATTGGTAGATAATTATTGGCAATGAATTTCTGTAAGCATTGTGACTAATGCCTCTTCTTTTCAAAGATAATAATGCTATACATATTATTTATTATTTTAACACCTGAAACTTTTGGAATCGGACTATTAGCTCTGGGGTACCATGACTGGAATGACAATATTGTTAGATTGTCATTACCCACACTTATCAAGTATGCACCCTTGTCAGGGTTTATGTGATTTCCTACCTGCTGCTCTAATTTCACGTTTTCTTTATTTTTGTTTTGTTTCCTGCTTGTCTTTTCTCTAAGGGCAGCATTCTGAGAGATGTCGAAATCCTACTCAAAATATCAACATGTTAATCTTGGCATTCAGAAACTTCTAGCCTCCACCCACAATCCACTATCCCGCCTCATTTCCGTCCACTTTCTCCTACATACACTACAGTTCAGTTACACTGACTGACTCAATGCTGGTACAGTATATCATTTCAGGCCATGTATACATACCTCTACTGAGGAGCTGTACTGGCAAAATAGAAGCGCTTGGCTGCAAACAGTATTTGGAGCCCCAGCCGCTGTGCAGGGAAAGAGGTGACATCTGGCGCCGTAGTGAGCACAGCCTTGGAACCGAGGGGGCAGTTCTCCTCGGTCCTTTTAGCGTCCCTCGACAGCAACGTGTTTGATTTCTTCTGTTTCTGGCTGCTTTTTGATTTGGTATAGCTCTCTTACCAAACAAAACACCAAATCTATTGCCATTGAGTGATTTGCAAGTCACGTAGGACAGGCTCGAGCTGTGAGGTCCCAGGCTGTGGCTGGTTACTGGAGTAGAAAGCCTCACTTTCTCCCCAGAGTGCCTTGTGGTTGAAACTGCTCTACCTGGCGGATAGCTGCCCAATGCATCGCCAGGACGCCCCCAGGCTTTCCTACAGCACTTCCGAGTGGGTTCTACTCTTGTTCCCCAATAAAATATGAACTGTGACTTAACTCTCTGTATAATGAAATTTTAACAATTAGATGTTTGCATTTTAGTGTGTGATACTCATGAAAATTGTAGGATTCAAAAAAATCTTAATATTTATATCTGTATGGTATTCATAAAATTAATTCATTCAATAAAGATATGTGGGATTCTTATCGTATGTAGTTTGTTTTATATCAGATATAAATATTAATATATTTTTATTCAACTTAAAGAATATTCATTCCTTTCCTTTCCCTACCTTTGTTTAAAAAGTTACTTGTTTTGAGATTATCACATTTCAGTTCTTTAAGAGAGACCTATTCATTCCTAACTACTAACTAGACTTTTGTATTTTCTTTTATGGTATCTGAGCAAGTTCAGGATCCAAATTAAGTTCCAGCTTTCAGAAAATATCACTTGCTTAATATTGGCATTTTCCTGATTATATTCAAAATGAATCTAAAGACTATATTTTGTCTCATCTCTTCTATATGTAAAAATAGTAAAATAAAAACAATAAACCATAATCTTCCCTAGACAATATGCTCCATACTCTCAGGTAGATTATTGTATTTAATCTTTTCCCAAAATTCTGGAAGGGAAGAGTATTGTTATTGGTCCTGTTTTGCTGATGAAATAAATGGATCATCTTGAATAACCACTTGTTAGGGAGCTGCAAATCCAGCTGGAATCACCAGCTGCCAAATCAACTGTGTTCGTGTTTGCTTCCTTCAACCTTTGCGTCTCGACTCCATAGATACGGACACAAAAGGAAGTGCAAGGAAAGTAGATCGTTTGTGTCTACAATTGGCCACTTAATCATCTGGCCCATAGCAGTCTGGAATGAATGAAAACTCAATGCCATACAAGTTGCTCAGGTACTGAAGTATTTCCAAGTATCCCTGTACTCAGCATGAAGGAGATTTCGTCCGCTGTGCGAGCCACAATTAAACGATTTGAAACATGTCTGCCTCGGCTGCTTATCTTTCTTCTTGCCTTTGTTACTCCTATGAACTAATAATGTGCTGAGCTCACAAGTCAGAACCAACAATTTCTGAACTCCTATTCAAAATGATCCCAGAAATTATCATGACAGAAATTCCAGAGAGATGCATTTGAATTCCACAACCCCGACAAAGGTGTTGCCTGTATCTCAAATTTGTCACAGTAATATTAAAGCATAAATTATAGATTGGTTATATTTGAAACAGCCATTTGTGACTTTTAATAACAAAAGCTTAAATTATTTAATTCACAGAAGGATTTAACATCAATTTCTTTTTAAAAGTAAATGTTCCCTATATTTTTTATATGCAATTTTGGTCTGTATATTTCAATTTTACCTCCTTCAAGAGGGAATGGATCATGGTGAACTTTTAATTTCTGGTTATAATATTTGTAAAATAAAAGACAAAAAAGAAATGGTAGTACAAAATAGAATTTTGTTTAAAATTTAGATTTTTTTTTTCAAAGTATAGTTTGCAAGTTGTAGCCGAAATAACATACAAACTATGGGTGGCTTTAAAAGCCTAATTTAGGGTGATGATGCTAATAAAGACTAAAATGGATTGAACAGCTTTTATGTATAAAACATTATTTTCAAATTAATTATTTGTGTAATGATAGCTATGAACTCTGCGGGTGTTGTAGGTTAGACATGGGGCTGTTAACCATAAGGTTGACAGTTCAAACCCAACCTGCCCCCCATCCTGCCCCCGGAGAAAGATGAGGCAGTCTGATCCCATAAAGATTTATAGTCTCAGAAGCCCTATTTAGGGTGACTGAGTTGGAATGAACTTACAACCATGAGTTTTACAGTAATCATTATACCCAAACCCCATGCCTTCTCCTAAAGCATCCCTTTTCCTCAATGCTAAGAAATAGGGAGCACCAATACGAGCAACAATAGATTATAAAGTAAAATGAAAATTCCCATGAATTTTTAAGATAAACGAACAAACTTCACAGAATTTCCAAATTTACTATGAGTTTATTTAAGTTATAGGCCAACTCTTTTAGTGAACAGAATATATCTTCATCTTTGTGTCAGTGGGTACACTTTCTAGTTAATCAAAAGAAATTCAGACATGTAAGCCATTTAGTGTAGAATATTAGGTGCCGGTACAACAGTGAACTTTTTGTATTGTTGCTGATTCTGGTAGGACTTTGTCATCTTTCAGAGCAAATTGACTGAGGGAAGCCAGGCTGTTGTATTCCTGGAAGCTTTTCTCACTCCTATTTACAGCCTTCCATTACCGCATGAAGCCAGTAGGAAATGCTTTTCCCCCCTCAAATAATGGGTATTTAAAAATTAAAATGAATCCCTGAGAGAGCTTTTCAAACTTTGTGAGTTAGAAACAAGGAGTCCTACCAGCACTGTTGGGGAAGCTGGGTACTGCGACAGCCCACTTGCCACTGTGGGAGGAAGCTGAGGCTGTCTGCTTCCTTCAAGATAGACGGTCTTGGAAACTCTGTGTGGAATCACTATGCGTTAGATCAATCCAATGGCAGCGAGGTACAAGCAAGAAACCAAGCAAGCATATAGCCATACACATTAAGCCCGTCACAGGAGAAGAGATTCCGATTTTCTTGGATTTCTTGTGTTACATGTAATTTAAAGGAATTCTTTAACATCTAGAATCAGTGGTTCAGTCCTCTGCGGGGATCTTCACTTCGTTGCCAGTTCAACAATATCTTTACAGAATGAACTTGCACCTTGGTATATGCCATCTTCATCAATCTACAAAATTACTCGTCATTTTATTAGCAGCCTAAACAAGTACTCAATTGCTATCTATGGGAAAGTTGTAAATATTATTTCTATTCGTGTCTTCATTCTCTCTCAGAAATAAATTATTCCTGGACATATTATGCTATTGATCTGCCCACTACCCATTCATATTAGATATCTTAGGATCTTTCCGACCAAGAAGAAATTTTATTCAATTTCTCCGTGATCTATATGGTAATTGTGGAAAACTCAGAACAAAACAAGGGCATCTTGTCTGTCATCCTGTCTGCTAACAGCAGCATAGTGCTCACTCATTGCTCAATGTAAACTTCATACTAGTCATGTACTAGGGATCATAAAAATTATCATTGTTGAGAATATAATCTAGATCCAAACTATAGAACTCGAGAGATATGAGACATTTAATAAAATAAGACATTCATAACGCTGTTCTAAATAATAAGTATCATTTGGTAAGCATTCTGATAAACTTTGAGGGCTAGAACATATTCTAGCTAGAACAAAATTTATATCCTTAATTTTGTGCTTGTTTGGTATATTCCTCCTTTCTGTCTTTTATGAATTTAAGTGAATTACCAATTTGAGCTGGAAAACATTTTTGACTGTTGCTACAATATATTGAACCTTACTATACATTGAGTCCCATACATACATCCTTTATTACTTCATTCAAAAATATTTGTAAGGTGTAAATTTAAGAACTATAAAACAAAATTCTAAGAGTGTCAGTAATTGGCTGAATATGATATACATGGTCTGTGATTTAATTATAGTAAGTCTATGATAGAATCCATATCTGTTCTTCTGTGCTACACAAACTCCTAGCCAACTTACCTCTTAATTAGTGAATGAAGTTTGAAGCGACAGCCAGGACGGCTACGTGTCTACCTATGCTCAATTGGATGTTACTCTGGCTGCGTGTCTATCTGTGCTCAATTGGATGTTACTCTGGTACTATGCAGTGTGCTCTTTTAGGAGAATATATTTATTTAATCATTTTATTTGGAGCTTGTACAGCTCTTATACATACACCCGTGTATCAAGCAAATTTGTACATATGTTGCCATCATCATATTCAAAGTTTGTTCTTTCTACTTGAGCCCTTGTTATTAGCTCCTCATTTCCCCCCTCCCCCATCCTCCCCATATATATATATTCATGTCTTACACAGACCACTGTCTCCCTTCACCCACTATTCTGTTGTCGGTCCCCCTGGGAAGGGGTTATTTGTAAATCCTGTGATCAGTCCCCCCCCTTTTTCCCTTCACCTCCCCATTACCCTCTCGTTATCACTACTCTCATTATTGGTCCTGAGGGGTTTATCTGTCCAGGATTTCCTGTGTACCCATGTACATGCTCTGGTCTAGCAGGATTTGTAAGGTAGGATTGGGGTCATGATAGTGGGGGGTAGGGGAAGGCATTAAAAAACTAGAGAAAAGTTGTATATTTCATCAGTGCTATACGGCACCCTGACTGGCTCAAGGAGGATGCGTATTTAAGGGTTTGCACAATACGTTTCTAGCAGATATTTAAACATTTTCCAAAGATTAAAATGTTTGCTGGCTCTTTCAAATTCTAATTTAGCAAGCATCATTGGAGAGAAACCATTTTAATTTCTCTGACCTTCCTTCCTTTCGTTGCCTTTCAGATACGCCTCTTCTGTAAAGGATGGCTCCCAGTATTTTGTGCTCCTGATAGTGACCGATGGCGTCATCTCAGACATGGCTCAAACTAAGGAGTCCATAGTTAACGTGAGTCGGGGTCGGTGAGTTCGGGGCTGTCTAAATGAATACTTGCCACTACTTAGGCTGCTATCAGGATCAGCTCCAACTGTCTTAACAATGAAACTAAATGCTCATATTTTTTACAACAGATATTTTACTTAATGTATTCAGACAATGCAAACACATCTCTATGAAGGATCCCTATGGACAAGGCAAAGGGGTCTGGATAGTTATGCCCAAATGGTTTCCTTAACAGATATAGCAGCATCACCTTCAGATACATACAGATCCCTGCATGGCACTAAGTTTGTGCTGGGCTGCTAATCTAAAGTTTGGTCATTCCAACCCATCTGACTATACTGTGGAAGAAAGGGCCGACAGTTTCAGCCCATAGGGAAACCCTGCCGAGCACTTGTGACCTGCAATACATGGGGGTCAATATGAGTCAGAATTAATTCAAAGGCAATGCTTTTGTGTTGTTGTTTTGTTTTTGTTTTCATCTAGCTGTGTGAATTAGCTTGATCTACTTATAAACAATGTAACTGCTTGCATAGACATTTCTTAACATTTACATGTGGCTAATTACTATTTTTTTAAACTGGATAGGGACTGGATTTGATTCAAAAAGTATCCTGCTCATTACCATTCTTAATTATGTGTTTATTCTTCTTGATTATTTCACTGATTATCTTCTGTACTAGACATTAATTTTCAAGAGGGAAATTATTATGTGTGTTCTTGCTCACCTTACCGTCTCCAGGTTTAGCAGTGTTTGGCACAACGTAGATAAGAAACATGGGTTGCATGAATGAATAGTTTACCATGCCTCGTGATTCCTCATAGCGTACAGAGGGTAGCATGACCTGTTTATTGTGAGAAGAAAAGACTTGCATGTGGGGGAAAATTCAATGCACTGTAAACACATTGTTAGAAAAGAAGCTATATAAAAGGAAAGGAAGGCAACTGTTTACAAGTTCCTTTGTTTTTTAATGAGCTACTCTCGAGCTGGACTTAATCTTGATTTTCTTTATGTTCTGATCATTGGAATTAGTATGCAATTGAAGTGTGAATTTAATGTTTGTAGGTTTAAACTAACAAGACACGATGCTCGGAAGAACAAGGGGTTGCTATGGTTTCTTTCTCTGACACGCTTACTGTACCATTATTTACTGTGAGGACCGAACTGTATGAGATGTGTGGTAGACAACATGTCATTAGATTAACTATTCATTCACTATCAGAACCTTGTGGGTATTTGATATATACATTAACACTGCTGTGACAGACTTCGTTAGGGAACATTCAAAGTTGCTCATTGACTGTGAACCTTGCTTTCCCTAACCCTAACTATAAGTGAGGGAGAGTAGAGTACCACTCACAACTCTGGGTCCATCCCCGTAGCAACTGAAAGGGTCTTTGGGCGGGGAAAGGATGTGAAAAAGAAACTAAAGGTAACACAAATACCACGGGGCGATTTTGGCTGAAAGTAGCAAATAAAAGCAGATGCCCCTTATTTTTTAAATTTATTTTACCCTAGGATGGCCATTCTGGATGAATATGCCCCTGGACTAACATATAGAGAGAGTACGGGAAGGGTCAGAGTGGACCCCAGCATGTTCTCCTGCTGTTAACAATTTGAAATATGTTCAAAACCGTTAGAATATGCATGCGAGGAAACAGAGACATAAAACGGGTTATCATTTTCTGCTTCTTTGGCTCATCCTTTGTAGAACTTTCTTTTATATCTCTCATTGTCAAAAATGTAACCTAATTGTGCATTCTCTTTAAAGGCCTCAAAACTTCCAATGTCAATAATTATAGTAGGTGTTGGACCAGCAGAATTTGATGGTGAGTAATGAAAGGTCAATAATATGCTTTGGGAATTTATTTAATCTGATGTCTCATATTGTTAGTTATTTGTTATACTTTTGTGCATAAAAAGGTGTAAGTGTATATGTGGGTCTGTTTATAGCATCCATGCACATACAGATATAAATATGGGTTTCTCATGATTAAGTATATCAAAGGCAGAAAAATAATATATTGTTTCTGAGTAGCAGGTTCTCTCTCCACTTTACAGATTGGTTCACCATGTAGCTCTCCAGTTCATTAGAGATAGGTTTGTACCTCAAAACAAGATTTCATAAGACTGTCAGTGATAAATTAAGGTGTTTTTTCCCCTAGGGAAAACACTTTCTGGGTTCACTAAAAAACCCTTAAAGATAGGCGCTAAATTATTAACCCATTAGCTTGAGAATAGAGATGGTGACATGATCAAAAGATGCTCATATAGTGGATTTTCAGAACCTGATGAACAAATAGACCTTAGTTTTATAATATATACACTTTTAAATATGTGGTTCTGTCATATTAAAGAAGAGAGTAAAATCAAAATGGAACTGACCAGTTAAAATAATGAGATTTTATATAAAGCTCTCAAATTCACTGCCACCGAGTTGATTACAACTAATAGTAAGTCTATAGGATAAGATAGAACTTCCCTTGTGAGTTTCTGAGATTATTTATGGGAATAGAAGGCTTTATCTTTATAGCTGGTGGGTATGGGACATTAAGAATGAGAATAATGTAACAAACTTTAGAACAGCCTTGGCAAGTCACTGGTTAAAAGGACTTTCTCATTTTCTACAAGAGATTTCTCCACAGGACAGATCTTTCAGTCTCCAGTAAGGCTTGCTTGTCTTGTCACCTTCTTCATCAGCATATAAAAAGTTGATGTAAAAAATGAGCTTTTCTACATGAGTTTTGGAAACACACACACACACACACACAATTACTCAGAAGGCCAGTATATTAGATATATTAGTAGCAACACAGATTTGAAGACTTTGGGTTAATTCATTGGCAGATTCTAAATTATGCCCTCCCCTCATCTCAACGACTATTCCAAATACGAGCTGAGTTTTGCACATTACTACTGCTCTAGGGAAACATTGCTTTCTTCTCCGCAACCTGCTGCTCCAAAGAAAAGGCCAGCCTCAGCTGCCCCCAGCCTCAACTGCCCCCAGCCTCAGCTGCCCCCAGCCTCAGCTCCCCCCAGCCTCAGCTGCCCCCAGCCTCAGCTGCCCCAGCCTCAGCTGCCCCCAGCCTCCATAACCCTATGAATCTTTCCATGAAGAGAAATGAGTGAAGCTCACAGGAAAAAGGGACACTCCTTTACAGCAATCGTCTCTCAGGAATTAGAATGCAATTTCATTCTGGCAATCATGGGGTCAAGTGAGCATAGTTCCTGCAATACCTGATACCTGCTTTCATCAGCATGGAGGCTGTCATGGAATGCGATGGTAAAACAGTCAGGCACAAAGTAAGAAAAATAGACGATTTGCTGAGAAAAAAATAGGTACTGTCAAATATTTTTATTTCTTCTCGAAACATCCTTTCTTTCATTGGCTGGAAGAAAAGGATAGAATGTGCATACTTAATCTAGAAAAGCTCCTATTTGCATTCAAATCACTGCAATCCCGTCAGAAACATGAGGCGGCTTCGATGAATTCATAGAAAAATGCTATTATCTTTCCATTCTACTTTTCCACAAACTGTTTGAAGTTCCATATGTATACCTATGTCATTTGTGTGTGTGTGTATGTGCGTGCGCATATGTATACACACACATATAAGGGCATAGGTAAAGACTGAAATACAGCTTGCAAATTATATCTGCTATAACATTAATCTAGCATCTATAGATTTTTAACCAGAAAAACACTTTTTGCTTGGGCTAGAAATACAATCTATTGACATGCAGTGTTTGAAGGTAGAGGACATAAGAATTAAATACAAAATCCATGAGTTAGTTTCTTAATTTTATATTTTAATGACACAAAAATTTTTCTGCATAATTTCCACCAGTGATATTTTTCCTTCTATATAAAGCAATGCCATTTAGAAAATAGATTTCTTGCAGCAAAATTCTCTTGTCCAGAGTGAGAGCGAAATTAAACCAGCTTCTGGCTACTGGGAAGAAGCCAGAAGGGATTCTGGCTTCATCTTGTCGCCCATGGCCAGCCAGGCCTGCAGAGCGCTCTCTCATGCACACACTTCTCGGTGACGAGGTAAGGGGCTGTCAGCCTCGGCCTCTTTTAACAGTAGATGAAGGGTGAACGCCACACCTCTTCACTTCTTACATACTATTTCTCTGCTTTTTTTTTTTTAAATAGTAACCTCCAATTCAATGGCCTGCAACTTTTAAGTGTGAGATATTTTATAGGATCTCATTTTAATTCATCGTTGGCTAAATGGCCGTCTTTTTCTCATTAAGTGGAATGAAGCACTCACAAAGACCAATGGAAATTGTCAAACATATGAAGGTGTGACACCAGATTATTTCCTTTTTTATAGTGGATATCTTGTAAGTCTTATAAGTTATTAGCATCTTAGAGAATAAGGAAGTTATTTCTGTGATTTCTCTCATGTCGCCATCAATGTACATTTACTCCAAGCAAAAGTGGCCTTAGAGTAAAAAGAGAATTAAATATAGCATATATTTGAGCATCATGAATTCTCCCATTTACATCTCCAAGAAGTAGAGAAGAATAAGTACTTTTTATTTTGAATAATTTAATTTCTTTATTATTGCTGAGGCACACGTTTTACTAAATGATTGCTATTGTCTAGTTAAACTTTAAGAGGTGGCTCTCTGTTTTTTATGTATACTAACAATGCCTTAGCCCAAATATGCTGCCTTGTGAAGATATATAGAGACGTGAAATTGAAACAATGTTTTAGCACAAATAAGTTATGTAAATATTGAAGAAAACAAAGTAGAAAAGAGTATTATGACTGAGAGAGATATTTTATTGAGGGAACTGGCAAGCATTATAGTGCTGACAGGCTCTCTAGAGTCTGGTGAATGTTTTATGTATACAAAATGAATTATCAGTAATGGAATTATACTTTATACACAAATTAGCATCTTCATGTCATTAATTATTTAGAGAATTCTCACTGAAAACTTAATAAACTGCAAAATGTTCTTAATTGCAGCATAGCATTACTGTATCACCAGCTGCCCCATTAGATCACAGTAGTCCCAATTACCAGCTGATCTGTGGAATGTTAAAGTTATTATTTTACCCGCATACACACACACAAAATGACACTTTAAGAAAAGAATAATGTATCCAATCAATGTAGGGTCAGAGAAATCTGACTTAATTAATCTACTCTCAGAGGACATAGATTTCTCAGTAAAGATCATTTTAACGAAACCAAAATTCAAACTGTTACAGGGAGTTCCATAATGATTAGTCCCAAATTTCATGACATTGGAAGAAAAATTAAAATGTAATGTAATCACATCATTTGCCAATCTATCAGGTAAGCATACATAGTTGAGGATCTCCCGGTCAGGGAGAGATTCCCAAAGAGAGCAGCAGCAATATCAGATCACCAGGAATGCACAGTTATCTTCAAGCAAAGCAGCCTTAGAGTAAAAAGAGAATTAAATGTAGAGTGGCATTGGCTCTTGTCACCTTTCTAAGTGTCATATTAAGTCTTAGTTTGTAGTCACCATGTTAAAAAAAAAAAGCACTCAGGTTTTGTGGGAAAGATATAAACATACTTTATGCCTTTATGCAGGCAAATTGCTACTTTATAATTCTAATTTCCTTATTGCTCAGTTGCGTTAGTAAATGGCTAAAATGCACTGAATCAATGATCATGTTTTATTTTTAAGCAATGGTCGAATTGGATGGAGATGATGTTCGAGTCTCTTCTAGAGGAAAGTATGCGGAAAGGGACATTGTGCAGGTAAGACATAAAAATGATTTATTTCATTCATTGTAATGAGCTTGTGTCAGCTCTGGTTTGGGTTTTAGTTTACTATCTACAACATGGAAAAAGTTTTCTTTCCCACTTTACTATTGTCAAAAAATATAATTAGGACCTTTAGGAAAAAAAGAGAAGTTAGGAAAACAAGAGACATATTAATGAGGCTTATCTAGTCACTGGTTGACCATCATAAATATATTTAATACAATGGAAATGTACTTAAAGTAGGAAAACATCCTGGAAACATAACAAAACCATTAATATTTTCAGCATAGTTTAGGGTGAGGAAAGTGAGCTATTGGGGTGTGTGTGTGGGTGTGTGTGAGTGTGGAGGTCTGGTGGCACACTGTTAAGCATATTTGTGGTGTGCCGTTTGAACCCCCCAGCCTCTCTAGAGGACAGAAACGAATCTGTCTGTTCCTATAAAGAGCTGCAGACACAAAATCCCAAAGGAGTAGTTCCACATAGGGCCCTTATGGGTCAGCGTGGACTCAATGATTGCTGGTTTGGATTCAGAGCCAACGCATCTTCTAAAATGTCGAGAACAACGCTCTGGCGACACCATTTGTGTAGGAAAGAAAGTCCCAATTCCAGGTTAGTCCGTGATGGGAAAGATTTTGAAAGAGCAAACTCTTAACTTCAGGGTTACTTCCTACATAATATCTCTATATTCATACCCATAATACAGTCATTAAAAAAAATCCTGTTTTGAATCACAGAATTTTGTTCACATCCTGGCTTTCCATTGTGATCACTTGGGCAGTTTTGAAATTTCAGTTCTCTGGAGGTAAATGTCATTGCAATGAAAATTAAGTGAAATCATGCATTTAAAATATATCCATGAGACCAGTTAAAATAGTATACAAATAGATCAGTGAGATCAGTTTTAAAATGTTGGAATAATTTGAGTGATAAAATAATATAGCCTGTAAATATAGTAATGTATAGTTTAATATGTTGATGAAAAGTATTGTTCTTCATCTGTAGCAAAATTATTTTTACAGTGGAAACATCCATATAATAGTCTGGCAAAAAGATAACTGAATATGATATAAATGCATAAGTGATTTGGTTCAAAGCTGTAGCAAAGGGAACTGGTGATGTGGTCATCTATTTTAAAATCCCATGGTGTTTTATTTTCATAATCAGATGTCTGATTAATTCACCTTAACCTCATCACGATAATTATAGGTCTGAATAATTACACTTTATTTAAAAGCTCTCAGAATGCCTGGCTTACAGTTTCTCCCCAAAATTAAATTAGTGAAAGGATATGTGAGCTGAAAATTCTTTGGAATCTATTCTATTCTTGCTGTAATGCATTTTTACAAAGTTAGCAGGGGCCCCTCCATCGCTCATGGTATCATGTTAAGGGAAACTTAGTTACTTTCTCCCTTGGGAGGGAGCTGTGCTTGTTCAGATCACGCAAGCTTCTTCTATGGCGTTTTCATGTTATCACGCTGATCTAGAGCAAGTCTGTGAACCTCTCTGAGCCTTGGTTTCCTTCTCTGGACACGCCACATCCTTTCACCTGTGCTTTTCCCATGAGACTGAATCCCTGAGGAAGTAGCAGACATGGAAGACGTGATGATCTAGTGACATAAAGTGTGTATAAATGTAATAATAATATTTTCTCTCCTTGAGATGAACTACCACCCACAGGTACACAGAGTTCCCCAGAGCTTTAGGGAGCCCTCTGGGGTGACAGGGAGGCACGCAAGTGATTCTGCCATATAAAGTTTAATTGTGAATGTGGCGCAGTGCCGCTGATTCCAAATATAAAATAAAAATGCCACTTGGGAATTAATTCTCAACAACATGGTGACTAGCACACCCGTGTTTAGTTCAGAAGATTTAATGTGCTCTTTTTTAACTTCATGGAGAAGTTTCGTTATAGTGATTGGTCTTTTCAAATAGTAAACAAGTCAATCATTAACAGGTGTGTTCTGTGGAAGAAATGGCTTCCTCCACATCTCTGCCTAAGGCTGGGGAAGCATTCCACCATTAAAGTGCTCGGGTTCTGTTAGCAGGGGCAGATGACCCAATAAACAAGCACACATAGGCTTACGAGTGAATATTAAATAATAAGTAAGTACAAGCTCATGCTTGCCCATGCTTACTCGTACTTCATTACCAACAGGAACTGCACATTTGAAATGTGGTAGGAAGGCACTGTGGCTAGGGGCCGATGCTAGCCATAACTACAAGCAGAGTTTTCATGTGGTTAAAAAAAAACAAACGAGACCATTCACTACAGAAAATAGTAAGTAAGCCAGTGCTTATCTTGCTTCCTGGGCTAACCGGCAAGATGTAACACACACACACACACACA